AGTTGCAATGATTAATTACGGAGGGGGTGCTATTTTACAACCAGATCATTTCTTCCAAATTCCAGTTCTCTCTAAAGGAAATCGGGGAAACAAGCAGTGCTGTCAAGGAAATGCAAGGCAAGAAGTTGAACCTGCACACCGAGACAGACTGGAACGTACAAAGTTTCACAGACCTTGTTCTTCAGGCCGCATTAAAGGAAAAAATGTAGTCTAATACAAAAAATAAAATCACTAAAGCCAATTACAAAGAGTAGAATTATCAAAGTGCTTTAATATATAAAGTGTCAAATGTAATTAAATAGGACCATTAACACAGAGCTGCCATAAGATATTCCAATAGTGTTTTCAAAATGTGTTTTCTGAATGCAAGAGAAGAGCACAGGTTTTTAATTTCCCCCATAGGGTCAAAGTGGGTTCAGAAAAGGTTTTCTTATTCATTTAGCTTCTTAACACAATGTATTTGCTCTGCTCACACATTCAAAGGCACAGTTGGACTTGCTCTATCTGAAACTGCATCAAAAGGACCGTCTGCCATGAAATATTAATAAAGGGGCAGCTCTCACTGAGCAAAACACACAACAGCCTCATAGAGTAGATTTATAGACACCTGTCACTTAATAATATTAATTTTTGTAAGCTACTTCTTGATACTTAAAAATTATGAGCTGTTTTCTGCAGCTTTCCTTTAAACATAGTTTAAGGTAACTGAATGTGTTATCTGAACAATCCAACAGATTCCCAAAGCCATTATAACAAGAGCAAATGCAAACAAATAAATAAGGAAGAGGTTTCAAAACCACCTTGTGCAAGATGCTCAGACAATGTGCGTTAGCCTCCCTACCAGCTTTTACTCTCATGTTATGAATAAGAAAAAAACCCCAACATTCTCCACAGCACTTTTCTCAGTACTTTCAATCCATTGAGCTGCTGCCTACTTCAAGCAGATGACCTCAAAGGCAGAAAGTAACTCCGTACTGAACACAGCAGAGCTAGCTGCAGCAGGGGGACATGGTTGTTTAGAAACAAGAAGTGTCAATCAAGACCTTTCTTGCAATCCACAGTTAAAAATAAAAGCAGATTTGCTCCAGTAAGCTGTGACTCAAAAACATGATACAGAGCATCATCTGGTCCCTTGCACAGGCATGTATGGCCACAAGTCTGAAGTAATACCAAGTCTCAGTAGAACAACTTGTCTGTTTTCTGAAGGCACCATAAAGACAGCAACACTCCAGGTCTAATGGGAAGAGGCAGAGGGAGGGAAAATAACTAATACAGTTAGGAGGAAACACAAAGAGCAGCTTGGTATAACAAGGGAGAAAAAAGGTAGCTCAGTTCTATGATGGCTGTAACATCTGTAACAGCACAGAGACCCTACACCTCTAGGCAGAGGAAGAGTAACCAGAGTTTGGAAAAAATCTATTTCTGAACAAAAAGCAACCCAACTCCCATTTTTAGTGGATAGGTATAAAATCTGTAACTGAAATCAAAGCACACAGCAAAGAATCAAGACACTACATAAAACATTGGGGTCTATGCATACTCACATGGCATCATTAGCCTGTTTCTGATTTACCACAGTGTTGGAAGATCTGGACAGTCTCCTTTGCTCTGCAGGATGACTGAAGTCCAGGGAAGTGTCATATATTAAAACCCTTCTCAATCCGCCAGTGAGAACGAATCCTCCCCCCAGCCCATACAAGGGAGGGGGGTGTCTCCCAGACAGCAGATGTTTCTAACAACCCCAGGCACCCTACAGGGAGTATGCCACTAAGTGAGTTCTCCTAAGTAGCACTGCACCAAGCAAGTCTAGGCTTGCCAAGATGTTCTGCCCCTTACATGGACTTGAAGACAATTTCTCATGAGCCCTTCAGGCCAGAGGCTCATGCTTCACTGTTCCATTATTGCTTTTCAAACACGGCTTCCTTCCCATCTTCCCCTCTCGCTCGCCATTATCCGAGAAGGACTTTCTGCATCCTGCGCGCAGCGACGCTGGCTTCGTCCTCGGAGTCAGACTCGCTTTGGGAAGTAGAGCTCTGGGAGGCAGAGCTGCAGGGAGAGGAGCACTCTGGGGAGCACAGGTAGTGCATCAGCGGGAGGCGATACTTCCCACAGAAGTCAACGAACTTGATTTGTCTGACACAGCTGTCAAAGTAGACACCTGTAAGGGCAAAGGGGACAGGAACAACATATGAGACCCCAGTGGAGAAATCTCTAAGCTCTGCAACATTGCTGCAGCTGGTGCCAATGCCTCAAATTAGGATTCTAATTGACACAGCACCGGACCTAAAAGGATAAGGGATAGTGGAGGAAGAGAAGGGACCAGGACACCTATGGAAACAAACAACTTCTTTTCTTAGATTTAAAAAAAAAAAAAAAAGAGTCTTGTAAAACTGTATTTGGTAGATGATTCAGAAAGGCACACTCTACATGAAAAGACACAAGACAACTATTTCCAAAGAATTCAGCAATTTTTTCTAATCATAGGGAGAAACCTCAGGCTGGGAACTGGCAAACTTCATAAATGTCAAACTCATCCATCCACTCTATTTTCAAATTTGTAAAACCTCTTCTACCAGGTAGCAAAAATGCATTCAAAAATAGACCTTCATAGCCCTGCTTTTCTTCTGCTTGAATGAAATCACCATGCTGAGTTTGGATGCTACTTTCCATGGCAACAGTGTTGCCTTAACACACAATTACCTTCTCTTCCTGTCACAGCAAGTGATTTTAGACACTGACATTTTCAGAAATTTCCAGCAGTGTCTGAAGTCCTAGCTGGTCTGGAGTAACCTTTACTCCTGCAGTGCTTGAGCAATGCTGCAATACTGTGCTAGTTCATATGGAAAAGTGAAAAAGAGCAAAACCAATCCACTGTTATCCAAGTTGTGTAAAGCTATAAAAAAAGAAACATTTCTTTCCCTTCCAACATAAGTTCCAGCCCTTCCGTCTTTGCTTACGGAGCATGCTTTGATATTGTCCTGTAAGGAGATAACAGCCTGCATTATGACTGCACGGTAGATACTAATTAATGATTTTTCCCCTTAATCTTCTAAAGGCTAAATGCGCAGATCATTTACTGTGGATAAAGATTAAGCATTAAGCCAAATTAAGCCCAAGCATTCTAGGCTTGTCTAAGAAGTCCTCTCCTTCCAGGAACTACACACTGGTAGTCGCAAGCAAGAGCTAAACAAATTGCTTTTGGTAACTGCCAGAAATGAATTTTTCCAGCCAGAAATAAAGCTTGCTGTTCAGCAAGAGCACCTGCAAAAGTTCTCTTGTCCGTTACCTAATCTGAGCTATTTTAGGGCAGACAAATCAGACACTTCAGGCCATAAAAGCACGGTGGAGTGCTGGGATGAGTTGCAAAGACTCCGACAGAAACACCATCTTACCTTCCCATGCAAATACAGTAAACCAGCACTACAACTTTGAGCACTGTTCCAAAGTGAACAAGGTTCCTTAAACACAAGTTTGCAGGAGACCTGCAGCCAATGAAATACAGCTGCAATCTGGATGCAGCAACACATCTAACCCAACTGAGCTACTGAAGTCATGGCAAGTCAGAGGGAAAGAAAACCCATCTGGGAGAAGCAGGAAGCAGAGCAGTGAAGGTGAACTTACCCCCGCATTTCGGATTGGGACAGTTGCTGGCCAAGCTCAGATACCGAACAAGATTCTCCGGTAGATCGCTGGGAGCGTAGGGAACGTTGCGAGTTTTAATGGTGCGTCCAGCCAGTTCCTGAAGGCTTGGGGGGTTGTAGGTCATGTCACGGACAAACCGGACCACCAGTGGGTTCCCACGCAAGCTCAGCTCTTCCAGGTGAACCAGGTTAAGGATCTCTCGAGGAAGGTAAGTCAGCAGGTTGTTGTGCAGGCTAAGGGAACGCAGGGAATGCAGCCTGAGGATGGAGATGGAAACCCAGTCAAGGTGGGTTGGCACAGAACGGAAGTATACAAACTGAGGGCTTTCAGGGGAGATAATGTTTCATTGTACCCAGTTCATGCATTAAGGTTCCATGCAATTCTAAACTAAATAAGTCACCTGCTTTCACTTGTGCATTAAAAACAATTGCTGGTAGGCAGCCAACCCGGGAAAACTCTGTGTTTGCATTGCCTGCAGCTGCATCACCTTGTGCTGTGACACTACCAGATCTCAAAAGCTAAGCAAGGGGAAGCCAGGCTAGCATGGTATGGGTGACAAGCGTTCTTCTGGCTTTTGGAGGAAGCATTCTCCTCTGTCAAGAAGTGCAAAGCAATGATACAGCACAGCATCCAGGGATGCTCTCACACCAGGACAAGTTACAAGACAACTGGATGTTGTACATCAATAATAATCCCACTACACCATCAAATTCCAACTTGGAAAACTCCGTGCTGCCATTCAATTGCTTTCAGGGTTACAGCTACACAATGAATTCTTCACCTCCCATCTCAGACTACCCGTACAAAGTTTGCAGTGTCTTCTTTCCCCCATTATGAAACAGATAAAACAGTAACTTATCCTCTAGAGCTGTGCTATAGGATTTAACAAACACTAAAACACTCTGAGATCTTAGAGTAAGAAATGCCAAGGGAACGCAGGGAATGGTACAACACAAAAGCACACAAAAATGGCTTTGGATGAAAGACAAAACAGACCACGCATTCATCACTAAGAACACAGTAGCATGGCAGTTTATCTTTTCTGAGTTGCCCAGGTACTTCTCAGAGCACCTTTACCAATCTATTAATTCATCTTAAAGTGCATACTTGGTGACATTTTTATTTCCATAGCCCTTTGACTGAGATTTCCATATTATATATTCATGGTCTGCCTGCAATGCACCACGCTAAGGATCTTCTTGTTGAAGTCTAGTCACATTAACAACCTGAAGGACAAATAGGTCCTTCCAGGTGCTTTTATCCACATATGCAGAAAAAAGAGTTCCAAGAGTTAATTACAGCTGGTGGCTGATGGCAGTAAATACTCACTGTGCCAGCTGAGGTGGAATGCTCTGGATCTTGTTGTCGCACAGAACTAGATAGCTTAGAGAAGGCAGGTTTGCTAATTCAGGTGGAATTGCAGTAATGAAATTCCCTCCGAGGTACAGAAACTCTAAACTGGAAAAAAAAGAGAAGAGAAAACACTGCATTATTTCATTAAGGTCATTTCCAGTTTCATTTAACTCTAGTTCTTCTCATCTCCTGCATTTCCTAAAGAAAACTTACAGAGGACTGACTATGTATGAGATAATTTGCTGAAGGGGGGTGGGAAGCTGAGTTGCACACCAAAATTACAAGAGCTGCTGTTTCACAACAGATAATGTTGAGATTTACCTCCAGCCTCCTGTAGTCACCATGACATCTGTAGGTAGGCACCAGACAACTGTGTATTCCTACACCAACCCCACATGCGAAGCTCCTGCTCCTATTTCCAAGAAAGAGCAGCCTGTCCACACAGGGTCTGCAGCACTGACGCAGCTGCTGCTGCAGCCAGTGGAAGCTCGCAGTTTCAGGAGGAAGAAAGCAAGAGAGCAGTGGCTACCCCGGAAAATCCTGGCCCTGCACAAGCACTAGTGGCTTTTTATGGTATCATTTGACTCCTCGTTGACAAAAAAGCAACCATTGAGCAGAAGTGAAAGGCAGTCAGTCCTGCTTCCATACAATTCACATACCAACAACACCGCAGCTGTGACAGCACAGAGTGCATCTAAGTCACACAAGTACATGAATACAATTTCTGAGATAGATTGCTTTCAGTATACTGAAGTCATGGAGCCCAAAGCTACCAAAAACATTAGCTGGGCTTAACTGCAGTTTGGGCCTAAATAAAAGAGGAAAAGGAAAAAAAAAAAAAGCACTGATGTCCTGCACAAATTCAGTGGATGGGAGACAGGAATGAAGAGAGGCACTAGATCATTTCTGCCAGATGGAGTAGCAAGTATTTTCTGTGCATCTCTGCCCTTCTAGGAAGAAAAACTGGCAAGCACTTCTCTTCGGCATAATAGTTTCAAGTCCCCATTTCACAGAGTCACATAGTCTTCCTCCCCTGTTCTCAGATGCTGTCTGGAAGAGGAGCAAATGCAGGTTCAGTTTGGTACCTCTGGACCATTGTTAATCACGGTCCAGACCACACTTTTTTTCCAGGCCTCAAAAAGGTGGATCCCACAGTCCTGTCTGCAGGTGCTGGTTCAAGATCTCTGGAACCTCCTCAGCTTAGCTGCCTAACTACAGCATACACTGACCCCTCTCATTCACCAAGCATTCCCCACAGGTCAGGGTAAGAGAAGTCATCCAGGCTCTACCAGCCTTTCTTTAAGAACAGAATAGGGGACATCTTCATCTCACCCAGCAACTGAGAAAGGCTATGGATACAATCAGCAAAGAAACACACAACCAAACTACCCAAGGGACATGGGGGTCAATCCAGAGAAGGTCTGAACCTTGCAACTGTGCCACAGCATGTGTGGAGCTCCAGAGAAGCTCCTCCCTGAGGCTTCCCCTGGGATGGAGCAGAAGAACGGTAGAAAGAGACTATTTTGCTCAGTTCTCGTAAGAAACTTGAACACCAAAGATGTAGTGACAGCATGTGCTTGGGCTACAGGGGCCACTAACACAGCAAAATGGTCCATCTGCCCAGCAGTGGAGAACAGAACGACGGACCTCTGCAACATACTAGGAGACGCTCACGGAGCTTAACTTCTCCTGGATTTACTTACCTTTTTGCAGTATGTCAGAGACAAGCTAAATAACTGAAATTTGACAAAGAAGGCACAAAATTAAGCCTTAAACTGAATTTGACTATGAAAGGAATTAACTATACTTGCTTCAGCTGAAAGATCAAGTCAGGCAGCACATTTGGAGGTTACTCTGAACATGCAAGAAAGTACACAGGAAAAAAAAACAACCCACCAGCAAACCCCACTGCTCAGAAGTGGACCTCTCTCTTACACAGACAATCTGTAGTTGAGGAGTGGGGGAGGCTGCTGTGCAGAGATCACAACAAGGGGAGATTATTTTTAATTAAATTTTGATCCCCTAACAAAGCCCTGAGTTTTAACCAAAATTCCTCCTTCAACCTCCGTTGTTTCCCAAGGTAGATTTAGGCTGCCTGGCTCTCATTAAGGACTTAACTGCTGACCATACAATTCCTCGGCATATTTTAACTCCATGCCATTGCTGGAGCCCACAGCAAAAACTGTTGGGCAAGGGAATTTTAGTTATGTGGATTTCAATGTTTAAACAAGGTTTAGATATGCACAAGTTTACAGTTCCTAGGACAAGTGAATAATTAACTCTTCATCCTCTGTGTTTGAAGACAATAATGTCCGTAAAGCCACACTGCATAAAAACACATACTACCAGGGAAGGGGAAGAGGTGTGCAAAATACATAGTAAAAAATGTTTTTGAAATTCATTTCAAGGCAGGAAACATGTAAGTTTCAAGCGACTGAGCTTAGTCAATATTTCTAACTATCCTTTCACACTAAGACCCAGTTTTTCTGACAATCATTAATCTGTATAGTCTTTTGGACCAGCCAGTTAACGTCTCATGCATTGCTGTGTACACTGAGGCAGAACTGGAATTTTTCTGTACTTTCAGAAGTCAGTCCAGAAACTCAAAAAAGCCAGAGAGCAACCAGCCTGAAATGAATGTAAGCTCAGTTCCTATTTTTGGAGCTAGGTTAGAAGATTTATTTCCAACCTGCCACACAGGCTCTGTCTGAACAAGCTTCCAGAGGGAAAAAACACAAAATCCATCTCAATGAAAACTGAAAAAAAAACCAAACCCAAAGCATTTGACAGAGTAACTAATAGGGGCTGACACTTTCTCTCTTGCCATTTAGCAATGTTTACAACTACACTAATGTAAGGCCAGAGTCCCTTTCAGCAGCAGGCCCCTCTCAGCACAGCCAGTACTAATTGCTGCCGAGCAGCAGCAGGCACGCCAGGCCCATCGTGTGCCACTCCTCCCTAGCAGGGGATGCCCCAACTATGTATCAATTCAAGTGGTGGCAGCAAAGTTTAACATGCCAAGAGACTGTACATTCTTGCTCGAGTACGTCCTTGAGGTTTCCAGTCATCTTACAGCACAAAACGAACAAAAACCCCCCAAATGCTGAGTCAATAAAGAAGAGCCTGCTCTGAGCACTAGAGGTATTTTTGATACCCCATCAATTGCCATGACACTTTCATAGTCATGTTTCAGAAGTAGAATGTCTTCTGGCACAGAAGATACTCAAATTTTCAATCCACCCTGTTTCCCCACAGATGCTTCTTTGGATAAAATTTAACAGCTGACATCAAACAGATGCATCTAAATAGGTAATCTAAAAAGAAACGATGGAATCTCAAATAGCTCCAGGTCTTTTCAAGATAAACTTTTTAGCAAGAAACTTCCAGGGCAGTTTTGAGGCTCATACAAGGGAGGAATTTAAAAGCAGCCCACAGTACGCTCCTGTTAACCCTGTTCTACGATTTGCTAATTCCTGAGAGAACTGCATTGACTTTGCTGACACGCAAATTTAAGATCAAACGGTCGTCTGAAAACTATTTGCAAAACGTTTGAAGAGGGGAAGAAAAAGGGAGGCAGCAAGCAGACTTCCTAATGCAGTATCTTTATCAAAGCTTCACTTGCTGTTTTTCCCACACTGTAACAGCTGTTCTTAAGCGTATGCTTGTCTAACATGCTTAATGCTACCCACGAATAAAAGCAAATGCTCTGGTTTTCATTGCATCTAAGCTTTTACACAAAACTTGGATGAATCCAGTTAGGCACTTGAGGCCTTTGATCCCAGCCCTTGCACAACTGGGCTTTACTAGAGGAATCCAAGCAAGAGGGACAGAGCATGCACGACAGACACCTGGAAAGAGCCTGGTCCTTTTCTAAGCTCTTTCTGCCTGCTCCTGGTACTCTGTTGAATGTGAGAGCATTAACTAGAAGAGTGAGACTAAACTCAAAACTCACATCAGGAGATTCCAGGTATTGACTGCATTTCGCTAAGCTCTTGATCATTTTTCCCTTTACGGGACCCTTGCAAGACGTTTCCCCAAGCACACACACTGACGAGGGCAATCCATGCACCTCTAGCCAAAAGCCACAGTTGGCCAGTGAAGATCAGAGCTGTATTTTACCAGGCTGGCCAAACAAATTTTGTCCAGAGCAGGGACAAGTAGATGATCGCATTTCTAGCTTACCAGTCGTAATACATTATGCCCCTCAGCGCATTCCCAGCTGGATCAGCAGAGGAAGGGCACACGACACTGATGCAGCAGTGGGATGCCTACACAGACCTGTGTCTGCACAGGAGCTGCTGGGGACTGTGAATCGAGTCTGAGAGTGACTGACCATTACATCTCACACTGAAAACACAGCAAGGTCAATGTCAGAGGGAGAACTACAGAAAAGATGACACATGTATCCATGCTAAGCTCATCTTTTATCTGGCAACAAACAGGAAAGCAATGCAAAGAGCGCTGCTCTCACCCATCTGTTGCATTTTCTACTCTAAATTCACAGCAACTGCGGTTCAGGACTTGCACTGTACTGACACTGCTAGTTGACAGTAACTGGGGGTGGTGGGCATACAGAAGTAGCTGGCACAGCCTCAACATGATTTTAAATAGCCCTCAGCAGGGCCCATGCTTACATTTCTCAGAAACCTAAGTGGGTATATTGCAGGTCACCACAGACACTTACGGCAGAATTAGGAGAAAAGAGCACTGCATTTTCTTAATGAAAAACACGAAGCAAAGGCCACCTATCCTTGGTGCTGGCATGCTATGATCAGCATCACCCTGCTGCCATCACCAGAGCAATAACTATCACCCATTTATGAAGCCATGTGGAGGAAGCTTTAAGCATCAGGACATCCACAGACGGTCCTTCTACAATGGCCTAGGAGGTAACTGATCAGCAGGCAAAAGGCACTTGCTTTCCATGCAGGATCTTGCACTGCACAGAGATTTGTGTGGGTAAGGATAGGGCAGATGGCTGAAGCTGGAAGGAGAGAGACAAGACAGCAGCAGGACTGGCTGTGGTCCTTACCACTCTTCATTAACTCGCCAAATCACGGCACACACTAGTGAAAAGTTTTTGCGCAAAATGCCTGTCCTCAGCT